ATCAGTCCTTCCACTGAACACCCAGGACTGTCACCAATTGACTGAGGAGGGAAATGCTTGACCCTGGTTCACAGATACTTCTGCATGATGAGCCAGCATAAGACAAAAATTCAGAGTTGGAGTACCATAGCCCTGCTCATGTATAGGACTCTGATGGTCAGGAGTCCATCAGAAAGACTGTCCATCAGTCTCTGAAAGACAGTCTCAGTAGGCATAACTCTGAGCACTGACCTATTTTTATAGACTGGAAGAACTATACATTCAGATGTATAGATTTTCACTGACTCACATTGGCAGTGGCTAATGATCTGGGGGGATAGCTGGGAACTTGTAGGGAGTTCAATTGGAAAATCACCAATAAGGAGTCAAGGAAGATACTTGTAGGTAAATTTCTCTGAATGGGCACAAAATGTGAAGATAAATTGGAGGCCCTTGTAAATGCTTCCCAAAGGGCAATATTAGAAGATGCTAATAATCAAGTGGACAAGATGATCTGTTCCATGGATGTCAGTCAGCCTCTTCCAACAGTTACCCTTGTCCTTGCCCAATAGACTCATGGAGAAAATGGCCATGTTGAAAGGGATGCAAGTTACTTATGGGTTTAGGAATATGGACTTCCACTCACTAAGGCTGACATGACTACAGCCACTTCTGAGAGCCCCACTTGCAAAAAGCTGAGACTAACACTGGTTCCCCATTTCCTGGGAGGAGCATGTATCAGCCATCTGGTAACAGGTTGATTACACCAGACTACTTCTACCATGAGAAAATTATTACCTGTGTTCTCACTTGAATTTCACTTTGGATATGGATTTGCCTTTCCAGACCACAGAGTTCCTTCCATTACCACTATCCCTGGACTTCAGGGTACCTGATTCACCATCATGGTATCTGAAAAGATTGCTTCTGACCAGAAAACAATTTTACTTAACATCAAATGAGGTGTGTCAGTAGGGTTGTGCTCATGGAATTAACTTTTCTTACCATTTTCCCTTTTACCCAAAGCATGAATCTGATAGAATGGTATGGGGGTTGGGGAGGGGACTTTTTGAAGACCCAGTTTTAGTGGCAACACTTTTCATGGCCCAGATAGATGTGTTCCACACCAAGATATAGTGAGGTCTCTCTATCTCTTGGCCAGGATTCTCAGGTCCAAGAGAGAAAGGGTGTAAAAAAGAGTGGCTCTTCTATTACTCCTGGTAATCCAGGCGAATATTTTATTTTGTCTCAGCAATGATCATGTGACAAATTACAAAAACGATGGCAGTAGTTACAGGCATTTAACTCCTACCTTGAAATGAATATATACTAGTTCTTTTTCTTTTCTTCCTCTATATTATTCCCCCAAGAACACATGTGAATGGTGGCTAACCTTATATTTCATTATTTAGGTTACAGAATTTCAATGTGGATCTGTCTCACTAAAAGAGAAACATCAGGACTCTGTATCCTCCACTGGGGAGAGTCTAGGTGCATTGTTTGTTATAGGGGTATCTTGCATTGTCTGATCTTGGAACATGAGAACACAATTGCTATTTCTTTATGCAGAGTTTTAAATATTGTTAAAGTATGTGTGCATGTGTGCATGCATGCGAAATTACTTCAGTTGGGTCCGACTCTTTGGGACTCTAGCAAATGAATGCCAAATTGATGAGTGGACTGAGATAGTTTATACTCTGTTAACGCCTTACGCTATATTATGTTTACCTGCATCCTTTCCCCTGTATACTTCTGGGTTAGAGTTGGCCAAGAAAGTAGTCTGTGCACTCTTTGGAAGGCAGACTTCAAGCAGAAGCCATTATTCTGTGAAGGCCACCATGTTTACATGTGGTATCGGCAGAGAGGACAGCGGGCTCCAAATTGTCCTCACTCTCCTCTGCTGTGTTTCCAGTTCATTCCCCCAGTGTACAGCTTTATTTTCCTAACTGTTGACCCTGTTGACAAACAATGGCCCCAGGGTTACCACCAGATGGTTGACAAAATACTGTCAAGGCACTTGCTACTCAGAGGCACATCTTCCTCTAGGCATTCTCACAAGCCTTCCTCCTCCCTTCCCCAGGCTCCCTGTGGCAGCCAGACAAGGTGGCTTCTCAGATTATGTAACTGGTGACTTCTCTGATCCTCCAACTTCTCTCCTAAACCTTCACTTCCGCAGCTTCTTATACAACTATTTGAGATATACATCTTAAAAATCTCCTTTCTCATACATGATAATGGTTCATTTTTCCCTCATCAAAACTTGACTGGTAAAAACAGAAATAGTCTTGATGGACTTTGAGCCTGTTCCATCTGTTCTTGAGACCCAAGAAGAGATGTTCTTGTGCTTTCTGTATTTAGTCGCTTAACCATTATTTGAATTCCGTTTACAAATAGAAATATTTTTCCTAAGCTAACCTGTGTCAGTTTCCAGGTATTTGTGATTTAAAAATAAACTGTAACCAATACCCTATGGCAGTGTTAATAACAGATCTCTTGTATTTCTGCATGCCTGTGAGCAGACACACAGAACGCCAAACTCTTTTCACCAGTGTATATGGAGCAAAACACTCTTAGACTATATTATGGCTTCCTATGGTACAAAGGGCAGGCATGCTTATTGCTCATTATAAAACACTTGCTTCCATTAATTCAGTGTTCTTTCCTGTTATGCAATCCACTGTGCAGTCATTATTTGGGCCTCTTTTCACTGCCTTGTGGGAACTGGGGTTCAAGAAATGAGGCAAAAATAATGACACTTTGGCTATTGCTATGAACAATAAACTGTCCTTTGTCACTGACCTAAAACATAAGTGGGCTTCCCTGATGGCTCAGATGGTAAAGAATCTGCCTGTAATGTAGGAGACCTGGGTTCGATCCCTGGGTTGGGAAGATCCCCTGGAGAAGGGAACGGCTACCTACTCCAGTATTCTGGCCTGGAAAATTCCATGGACTGTATAGTCTATACGGTTGCAAAGACTTGGACACAACTGAGGAACTTTCACTTTAAAAGACATGCTGTAATTTCATATATACTGCTCATTACACTTTTCAAAGAGAACAAGGTATATACCTATGATACAAAGTAACACTTTAATAAACAAGCAAATGAATTAGGTTCTGAAGATATAAACTCAGTTTTTTCTATCACAACAGTGTGTGATAAGTGCTTTAAATGTATGGTTCTCTTTATTTCTCATTTGTAATGACAAGCATTTGGTTAGGATGCTTTGGTTACAGTAACAGAAAAAAAAAAACTCTACTTAATGCAAAAAGGATAATTTATTAAAGAATTGTAAGGGTACCTCACCAAAGCTAAAAAATAACAGTTAAAAACAGGCCTCAGTGATCGTGGCTAGTAACAGAAATCAAATTTGCTAGCTTAAGCAAAAAGGGGAATTTATAATTAAGATATGAGGGTGCCTTACTAAGCCAAGGGCAGGATGCAAGAAGGGCTGGAATAAGGAAATAGAGCACTGTTAGAAAGCCAGGGATCACATTCTTCTGATCTCTCATCTCTGTTCTTCACTTTGCAAATACTTCACTACTCTCTTACTGCAGATTTGCTGTCCTTTTCTTCCTAAACCACAGAATGGGACATGGCAACCCATAGCTCCCCAATTTATGTCTCCTCTATTTCAGAGATTAGTCAGAACAAGGCTAGAATCTGTTGTCTCTAACCCCAAATTTCTAGGGAAGCTTTAGAATCTTACCAAAATTAGAGATGACTTTCTTCTCTGGGATAGGCAGTAAGGTAGAAGTTGGTAGAAAACCAAGATATAGAGACCAATTTTTTTACCATTCTTTACAAACCTCTAACTGAAATGGCTTATTTTGATTTAGGAATGGGTGTAGAAAGATATAGAGAGTTATTTTCACAATCTCATCAACAGATATGATCAGATGCTTCAAAAGAGAGAGGTGTTCTAATCTTTTTAAATATCCTTTCTAGGAGAGAAGTGATGGGCCTGTATAATGCTACTACCATATTTGAGACAAGTTTTCTTTCATTTATTATAATAGACATGATTTATCTCTTGGAAAGATATGCACAGGTCCCAGTATGAGTGTTTTAAGCACAAAAAGTAATGATATATTTCATTGTTTTTCCCAAGAGAAAGAAAAATAGGACCTAATTACATGAAGAGTATTTATGAGAAAGAAAGAAAAAAATGATTAATTACAGGGTAGGTGTCAAAAATCCCTCAGAGCCATAAATTGAAATTTGACCAAGGGTTTCTCAAACTAGAGAGAAATTCTGGTTCATCCTAGCTTGAGTCAGATGCTTATGAACATAATTGCTTATATCTTCATCATAGTGGGGTAAGCGTCAGAGGTTCATTCAGAGAAACAGATACAGGATAGGGCAAAGAAAATTATTTTGTGTATTCTTCAGTGTTCCAGGCTCCTCTAGAGGAACAAAGTTATATTGCTTATGAAAATCATGGCGTAATAAAATTTAAATGGTAGGTGATTGATGTATTTAAAAATCAGAATAGCTGATGGAAGTATTCTGCCCAGTCTTACCCACACTGAAATAAAACTGAAAATACTTGTAAATCCATGGCTGACTCATGTCAATGTATGACAAAAACCACTACAATATTGTAAAGTAATTAGCCTCCAACTAACAAAAATAAATGAAAAAAAATAATAAAAGTAATGCCATTTAAAAAAAAAACTGAAAATGTCAGAAGTATAAAAAGATGCTGCAAATGTTTTATTTAAAATGTATTTGTGCTGAGGATTTCTTAAAGTATTTCTCCTATGTGTTAAAATACATCTGTATTATTTATTATATCCTTTGATGAGATACAAGGAGTTAAACTTAATGTTTATGATATCACTCTACTTCTTCCTGTAATTTTGTTATCTACAAATAATTGGAAAGGAAAGTAGAACCACTCTATAGTAAAGAACAAAAGAAATAATATTAGCATGGACATGTTAAGAGACTCAGAAGCTGGTAATTCAGTTTTAACTTTACATGATTTCAGGGTACACAAAGTTTCAAAAGAAAAAAGTCATTCAGTATTATGTTGAAGGTTTTGTATTTCAACCTCTGTATTTCTTCGTGTAAATACTTCCTTAAGGTTATCATCTTTTTGATCATCACAAAGTGTCGTATTTAGTACATTTTCAGTACATTGCTCTAATGGAATGGTTGTCAAGTATGAAAATACTTTTTCCATTAGAGGCTCCTCGAGAAAAGGCATCGGAGGGCTCTTTTTCATTTGAGAATCATCAGAATACCAGTCATCAGCTATTTCTACACTTTGGCTGTAATAAAAATCAGATGGTAATGTTGATAAGCTTAAGGTAACACTGCTGGGATTTGTTGCCGAGCTAGACTCTGAGGGGTCACAAATGACTTTTTTCGTTGCAAGGCAGAAATCATCTTTAGAATAAACATTATTTGCTGTAAAAAACAAAACAAAACAAAACAGATTTACTATGAATATTACATATTCATGAGCCAAATCTTAAAGTAAGGATAATGTTACTTTCAAAAATTCAAACTCTTTTTAGGGTTTTTAGGAACAGAATAATGCAACAGTGAAAATTCTAAGTTGCTATCAACATCTACACAATGTTAAATATATAATGGGGAATCAGTAATGTTTTCATGATAAACCGGAGTAGAAAAATCTATTCTAAATAAAATCAACCTGTCTTAACAAGAGAAGATTCTAAACAGGCTAGAAAGCTCAGTTCTGGAATGTCCCTTAAAATCAGAAACGGCAGATAGTTTAACTATTTAGGGCTAAATATTATCTTATTTAAAAAATAAACTTTGGCTCAGGAAACTCAAACAGAGTCTTTGTATCAACTAGAGGGGTGGGATGCGAAGGGAGATGGGAGGGACGTTCAAAAGGGAGGGGATGTATGTATACCTATGGCTGATTCATGTTGAGGTTTGACAGAAAACAAAATTCTGTAAAGCAATTATCTTTCAATTAAAAAAAAGAAAAGTAAGAGAAAAAAAATAAATTTAAAAATGTCTCCTTAAGCAGATATATTGGGGCTTCCCTGTGGCTCAGATGGTAAAGAATCTGCCTGCAGTATGGGATACTCGGGTTTGATCCCTGGGTGGGGAAGATCCCCTGGAGAAGGGAATGGCTATCCACTTCAGTATTCTTGCCTGGAGAATTCCATGGACAGAGGAGCGGAAGCCTACAATTCATGGGGTCAAAGCAGCTAAATTACAAAATGTTTGTCCACCATGGGCTCAACCTGGCTTTATACCAATTAAAGTAACAACTAAATCAGCATTCATATATAATGCCTTAGAATTTACACAGCAGTTTGATATACTTCCAGATCTCATTTATCCTTTCAATTATTACTCAAGGTAGTTATCAGCCCTACTTCACAAAGGATATTACCGAGACTGAGACTTTGAGAAATGAGTCACCAAAATCAGACACAAAACAGACTTGCTCTAGATCTGTGTTACTCTAAATCCCATGCTTCTCCCATTACATTATTTATGCTGTACATTTGCAAATAAAAATGTTAAGTTTCAGAAAACATCACATTTACAAAATATCCTAAACTATCTTTTGTGATATTTTACATAATTTTGATGTGAATATGTAACATTAATTTTAAAGCTGTTTTAAATACCTTATTACATTCTATATTCAGCATTTCTAAAATTACATAGGAGAGTAAGGCTTTGAGGTACTAAGTCAATATCTAAAGGGTTACGAAATGCTCATGCCTTTTGACTCTCCATCATATCTCTATGGCATTGACTTTGATACCTTTAGGTATAAATAAGAGGCAAAAAAAAAATTAAAATTTCACATTTTAAGATAGGACACTGCAAATTTTGTTTTCTAAAAAAATGCTTATTCATATACTAATAAATAGATATTTCCCTTGAGTTTTCACGATTTTAAAAATATTTAGATATTTAGTATATATTTAAGATAGCCTCTTGATTCTTTAAAATGTGAATTGCTAAAAGTTGATTATGATTTATTCTAATAAACTGTTGAGAAAAAGTACCTTTTATACATGCTGTCTCCTTTTTTCTTTGCTCCTCCTACATAAAAAATATTATTTGTATTTTAAAAATTAATAGTTTTTAAAAATTACTTGATATATACTTATGTGATAATATATGTTAACATCATAATAAAATTTTGATAGAATCATGTTTTTTCCATGATATGAATTTATCTCACCAAACTATATTGACAGAAAAGAAAATGTGTTGAGGTATCATCTGAAAAGAATGTGAATTGGCTCAAGAAGGCAGTCTCCAGGATAGGGAATGAAGGGTGAAATAGAGTTCAACAGGATTATTTCTCTCTACTCTCACTAACTTAGAGTTGCTTGGTTAGGACTAGTGATGACAAAAAAAGTAATTACAATTCCTAGACTTACTCATCCTATTAACTAATAACAACAAAAAGGTAAATTCTGGCTGAAAGCTTTCATAAAAATGTGACTATTTTGAAGTCAATAAAACATCTGATCAAAAATATATTTCAGATATGTTCTAGAAAGTGTAGTGGTGTAGTAATTCTCAAACTTAGGGCATCAGAATCACCCAGTATGTTTATTAAAATTCAGTTTCTTAGACATAATATCAGACCACTAAAACAGATTATCAGGCAGTAGGGCTTACAAGTATCTACTGTAAACCACTCCATAAATGATCTGATTCAGTTTTTCCTTAGACTACTAGATAAATGATGAGCTAATGCATAGAGTGTTTGGTATGCAGTGAGTGAAGATAGAGAGACAACACTGTCTCCTGTTACAGGGAACAGTGTTGGTACTCTGTGCTGACCTTCATTGTCCTGTTTGCCAAAAAGACTTGATTAGGAGATACACACACACACACACACACACACACACACACATATGGAATATACATATAGATAGGATAACACATAAGCACATTTTTGGGAATCTACTTTACTTTTTGATTATTTTCACTTTTTATTAATACAAATGTCAGTATAGGCTCCTGACTTACCTTGCCTGGATCTAGGATCAAGTCAATATTCCCACATGGGCCTGCAGTTTAATCTAAGAAGTTCTGGAATCAAGTTCTGGACTATTCTATGCTCATGCCTACACACGGGCTTCCCTGGTGGCTCAGTGGTAAAGAACCCTTCTGCTAATGCAGGAGACGCGGGTTTGATCCCTGGGTGGAGAAGATCCCCTGGAGAAGGAAATGGCAACCCACTCCAGTATTCTTGTCTGCAGAGTTCCATGGAGAGAGGAGCCTGGTGGGCTACAGTCCATGGGGTTGCAAAGAGTTGGAGATGACTGAGAGACTGAAAAACATAAATTATATCTGAAACTGCTTTTCAGACTTTCATGTGCCTATGTATTACCTGGGGGAACTTGTTAAAATATAGATTCTAACTCAACAGGTCTGGGGTGGGGTCTGAGATTCTGCATTTCTAACAGGTTCCCAGGTAGTGCTGATATTCTTGGTATGGAAACCATAGAGTAAGGTCCTCGATGTATTAAAATTTTACCCAAACTAAGGAATGACAAAATAGGCATTCTTATATGCTATATATAAATATATAAACCACTAGACCATTCAGGTATGACCTAAATCAAATCCCTTACGATTATACAGTGGAAGTGACAAATAGACTCAAGGGATCAGATCTGACAGAGTGCCTGAAGAACTATGGATGAAGGTTTGTGACACTGTGCAGGAGGCAGGGCTCAAGATCATCCCCGAGAAAAAGAAATGCAAAAAGGCAAATTTGTTGTCTCAGGGGGCCTTACAAATAGCTGAGAAAAGAAGAGAAGCGAAAGGGAAAGGATAAAAAGAAAAATACACACATTTGAATGCAGAGTTCCAAAGAATAGCATGGAGAGATAAGAAACAATAGAATAGGAAAGACTAGAGATACCTTAAAAAAAATCAGTGATACCAAGGGAACATTTCATGCAAAGATGGGCTCAATAAAGGATAGAAATGGTGTGGACCTAACAGAAGCAGAAGATATTAAGAAGAGCTGGCAAGAATACATAGAAAAACTGTACAAAAAAGATCTTCATGACCCAGATAATCACAATGCTGTGATCACTCACCTAGAGCCAGACATCCTGAAATGCGAAGTCAAGTGGGTATTAGGAAGCATCACTATGAACAAAGCTAGTGGAGGTGACAGAATTTCAGTTGAGCTATTTCAAATCCTAAAAGATGATGCTGTGAAAGTGCGGCACTCAATATGTCAGCAAATTTGGAAAACTCAGCAGTGGCCACAGGACTGGAAAAGGTCAGTCTTCATTTCAACCCCAAAGAAAGACAACGCTAAAGAAAATTTAAACTACAGCACAATTGTACTCATATCACACTCTAGTAAAGTAATGCTCAAAATTCTCCAAACCAGGCTTCAACAATACATGAACCATGAACTTCCAGATGTTCAAGCTAGATTTAGAAAAGGCAGAGAAATCAGCGAACAAATTGCCAACATCTGTTGGATCATTGAAAAAGCAAGAGAGTTTCAGAAAAACATCTACTTCTGCTTTATTGACTATGCCAAAACCTTTGACTGTGTGGATCACAATAAACTGTGGAAAACTCTTAAAGAGATGGAAATACCAGACCACCGTACCTGTCTCCTGAGAAACCTGTATGCAGGTCAGGAAGCAACAGTTAGAACTGGACATGGAACAACAGACTGGTTCCAAATAGGGAAAGGACTACTTCAAGGCTGTATACTGTCACTCTGCTTATTTAACTTCTATGCAGAGTACATCATGCGAAATGCCAGGCTGGATGAAGCACAAGCTGGGATCAAGATTTCCAAGAGAGATATCAATAACCTCACATATGCAGATGACACCACCCTTATGGCAGAAAGTGAAGAAGAATTAAAGCGCCTCTTGATGAAACTGAAAGAAGAGAGTGAAAAACTTGACTTAAAGCTCAACATTCAGAAAAGTAGGATCGTGGTATCTGGTTCCATCACTTCATGGCAAATAGATGGGGAATTAGTGGAAACAGTGGTGGACTTTATTTTTTGGGGGCTCCAAAATCACTGCAGATGGTGACTGCAGCTATGAAATTAAAAGATGCTTGCTCCTTGGAAGATAAGTTATGACCAACCTAGACAGTATATTAAAAAGCAGAGACATTACTTTGCCAACAAAGGTCTCTCTAATCAAAACTATGGTTTTTCCAGTAGTCATGTATAGATGTGAGAGTTGGATGACAAGGAAAGCTGAGCACCAAAGAACTGATGCTCTTGAACTGTGGTTTTGGAGAAGACTCTCGAGAGTCCCTTGAACTGCAAGGAGATCCAAACAGTCCATCCTAAAGGAAATCAGTCCTGAATACTCATTGGAAAGACTGATGATGAAGCTGAAACTCCAATACTTTGGCCACCTAATGCGAAGAACTGACTCATTGGAAAAGACCCTGGTGCTGGGAAAGATTGAAAGCAGGAGGAGAAGGGGACCATAGAGGATGAGATGGTTGGATGGCATCACTGACTCGATGGACAAGAGTTTGAGCAAGCTCCAGGAGTTGGTGATGCAGAGGGTAGCCTGGTGCACTGCTGTCTGTGGGGTCGCAAAGAGTCAAGATACAACTGAGCGACTGAACTGACTGATATAAATAGGTACAATTTTTCTAGAGGGCAATTTAACAAATCCACTTCTAGAAAATTATGCCAGGTAAATAATTTTGGATTTATGTTAATACCCAGTTACCAGAATGTTCATCACAACACAGTTTAGCATTTTTAAAGTCTACAATGTAAAATTTTAAGAGTAAGGAAATATTTAAATATATAAGGATATATAGATAGTAGTAAAATGAGTATTCTTTCAAAAATGATACTATAGATCAGAAGTAAAACTCTAAAAATGATCAGGATATATAAAAAAGACAGAGGAATAATCTTTAACAAGTGGCTCACTGGTTAAATTTAGGAAAATTTGAGCAACAAATTAATGATAGTGATGGATTATAATCTGCTAAATAAAATAGAAATCCATGAATCTATACTGATAATAAAGCAGACATAGATGTTTTTCTGGAATTCTCTTGCTTTTTTGATGATCTAGCAAATGTTGGCAATTTGATCTCTGCTTCCTCTGCCTTTTCTAAAACCAATTTGAACATCTGCAAGTTCACAGTTTACATATTGCTGAAGCCTGGCTTGGAGAATTTTGAGCGTGTGAGTGAATTTACTAGCGTGTGAGATGAGTGCAACTGTGCAGTAGTTTGAGCATTCTTTGGCATTCATTGCCTTTCTTTGGGATTGAAATGAAAACTGACCTTTTCCAGTCCTGTGGCCACTGCTGAGTTTTCCAAATTTGCTGACATATTGAGTGCCGCACTTTCACAGCATCATCTTTTAGGATTTGAAATAGCTCAACTGGAATTCTATCACCTCCACTAGCTTTGTAGTGATACTTTCTAATGCCCACTTGACTTCACATTCCAGAGTGTCTGGCTCTAGGTGAGTGATCACACCATCATGATTATCTGGGTCATGAAGATCTTTTTTGTATAGTTCTTCTGTGTATTCTTGCCACCTTTTCTTAATATCTTCTGCTTCTGTTAGGTCCATACCGTTTCTGTCCTTTATTGAGCCCATCTTTGCATGAAATGTTCCCTTCGTATCTCTAATTTTCTTGAGGAGGTCTCTAGTCATCAGATGGCCAAATTATTGGAGTTTCAGCTTCAGCATCAGTCTTTCCAATGAACATTCAGGACTGATTTCCTTTAGGATTGACTGGTTTGATCTCCTTGCAGTCCAAGGGACAGATCAATTAGATGCACTGAAAACTGCAAAGCCTACAGCCAGCATTGGTCAACAAAAAAAAAGTGGAGCAACTTTGAGGAGATGCCTCATGTCCAAGGTAAAGGAGCAGCCCCAGCAAGACAGTAGGAAGGGTGAAATTGCATTTAGAATCAAACCCCATATTTGCCAGAGACGGTCAGAGGGCTCAGACAAACCTTGTGACCACCAGGACGCAGAGACCCCACAGAGACTGAAACAGAACTGTGTTTGAGTGTCTCCCATGGAGGTTTGGGTCAGCAGTAGACTG